ATGAAATTTTCGAAGCAGCTGCTGCAATACCTGGACCCGAACACGCCTTCAGTCTGTGCTCAGTTCACTTGGCACCCACCTGACTGAAACTCTTCCGAGAGCGAGATGGTGAACTTCGAGTTTGCGGTCCTCCTTGGTGTTCACGACTCTCATATAGTCATCAACACGTGTTAAAGCGTCTGTGTCCGTAGGCTTTCTCAGAGAGGCTGTTTTTTTTTTCTCACGCCCCACGTAATCACCGATGAGCGTCCACAACTGATCGAAAAAACGATTGGCTCGAGGAAGCATCAAAGCATCCATAAGACATCCTAATCCTACATGAGACTGTAGAACATCACAGCGACGTCCCCATTGGATGTACCTCGGAGTCAAAAGGAGCTAACTCGATGACCTCACTCGGATGTGTAAGCACTACATCCTTTGAATGTTCCGCGGCGCACAATCTGGTTGCATCCCATGCATGATCGCACTCCGCAGGATGTCCATTGGATGCAACCACTCTAAGAATTCAGGTCCTGTGGACGTTCTATGGACGGCAACCAGTCCCGCGCTCCGTCAATTTCAATGAGGCATTCTCCAATGTATTGTATATTCCTTGGATGATAAAAAAATGAAAGTCCATAGAACTGGCATACGTGGACATGTGAAGAGTAGCTGGAGGGACGTCCATTGACAATCCCGGAATAAAATCCCACAAATGTCCTGTATTATAAACTTGGGGACGTATCAGGGTCATCCCGAAATAGGAATACGGATGCCCTATGAGTCACATCCCATTCACGTCCGAGGGATGTACATTATGGAACGTGTGGACCTGGCGTGGATTTCTGCGGGATATACATTATTGGGGCGTGTGGATCTGATAGGGACCGTGGATCTGATAGGGACCCCCTACGGGATGATCCCACACTACTGGGGTAAGAATGAATCAAGTTCATTATATTCCAGGCGTTTATATTGAAAAACATTAGTTTGCAGTGGCTGATATACGTAAACAAGGGGTACAAAAGGTTTCAGGATCGTATTCACGGAGGCAGCCTTACCAACAATGGAGAGAAAACTAGATCCCATGTTATCTGAATGGAAAGGAGTCTACTGAAGAAAACTTCGATACTAGACTATCGCCAGTATGGGCGATATACTAATTCGATGTTGGAACAGTCTGTTTTTGGAGTTTTGAATAGCATGTACGGGGTAGGCACGGAATATGCTGCTCTAGTAGCAAAGGCAGACACAAACGACTTCAAAAGTAGTTTATTCGCTAATGCATGTCATTATTGGCTTACCTTCCAGTCCACTGAAGCTTAATTAAAACCCAATTACAAGATCTGCCCTTACGTAGTTCAATTTTTAGTTTTACATCCTGATATTGACCCTAAATTGCATCGCATTATCGTTTGTGGACATTAGAAAGAAAATTCATTTTACAGACCACATCCTTTCAGTAGAACATCATATTTGTGGACATCACAACTATCAGAATAAAATCAGAGATGATTTGCCCTGCCACACTCTAGCGTCCTCTGCTCGTTTCCTTCCTCGACATCCTCTAGTGACCATAAGTAGGGGTATCTGTCATTATTTTATTTTATTTTATTTACAATGAACGATATTTGGAATTGTGAAAGAACATGAGTGCGTTTCTAAGAGAACACTCTTCCGGAGCAAGTTCCTCATCGGCATATTGTTTGGCTACAATAGCTCCTTACCTTGTTTATCTGCACACGTGAACATCATTCATTCAAGTAAACAAATGTCTTGGATGCCACATATGAACATGTCCAGGCAGAGCGTAAAGGCCAATAGATTCCATGCATTCATATTATGTTTGACTCCTCTTTCATTTCTCTAATAAGGAGTCCTTTCAGCTTTTACGTTTTTCTTAGGGCTGTCAATCGATTAAAAAATTAAATAGATTAATCGTGAATCATTTAATCGATTAATCGGTTGATTAATCGAATTTTAATCGATCCCATTGTTCCTCCTTGATTCATGTCCTAGCAGAATCACAAACAGAATCATTCATGTGTCATGCTTGTGTCAGGCCCAACGCCTAGGCAAGGAAGTCGCTCAGGGCTATGCAGTCGCTAACATAGCAGTTACTATTCATACATACACTAGTTCATCCTATAAGTGACACATTCCAGTAGGAAAGATAATAGTTACAACTTAGCCAGATAAATAATGAAACGTAAGCAAAGAAGCGCACTGAGGCTCTTTGCCATTTAGCCAACCCATAACGGAAAAATACAAATATGTAATCTAAATTGGACGTATACAGTGACACTTCATTACGCGGCGATTTAAAGATGCATTAACGATTTACGGGCAATACAAGATGGAAGAGCAAAAATATGAGAAAACAAGGAATAGGAGAGGGTTTCACACTTTCGTTTCCACTTCTCTCGCCTGCCCCCGGCTTTCCCCCTCTCTCGGTTACTTTCCGGGGGCTCCCACAGACGTTCGCCGGTGCACTTACACATACGCCTCTCACTCCCCAGTCTTTAGATTATCCTCTTTCCTGCCTCTCCGGTCCCATACCCCTGCCCAACTCCCCTCTTCCTTCTGTGCTTTCCCTTGCAACTTCTTCATTACGACTTTCTTTTCCCCATTTGCATAGTGATTTTTCGGTCGCTCTGCCTTAGGACGCTGTTACCTTAACCTGACTTGCGAGGCCTACAAGGCTGTCTTTAAAGGCCGTAGGCAAGGAAGAAGGACATGGGATGCGTACCAGTACGCTTGTGGATGCGAAGGGGTCAGGAAACTTTTTTTTTTTTTGGAATCGTTACAAAGCGATGGCTTTGTTTTCGTGTGTTCTCTTTTCCCAAAAATAGTATGTCGTTTTGAGGACGCGTGAGCAGTGCGAAAACGATTACCTTCTATAAGCAATCATTACATTTCATTCCCTTTCCTTTTTTTTTGTTGAAAAACTATGAAATACACAGTAAAATTATAAGGGGAAAAAGAGGCATTCAGGGGGAGATTAGGGGTCGATTAAAAATCAACCCCTAATCGACCCAGGGGTCGATTAAAATTCGATTAATTTTGACCAATTTTTTAAATCGCAATTAATACTTTAATCGATTAATCGACCGATTAATCTAATCGAATTGACAGCTCTAGTTTTTCTCATGCTTCGGTGGTGTTTTCTATTCGGGTGCATGCACTGGTTTCTGTCCGTGGGGGTCATTGCTGTGTGATATGTATGTTACTGTTAAAAGTAATCTTTTTCACGAACTTAAAACGTGTTCTTAAAGTATCATTATCCAGTATACCCTCAAGACTTTTAGCTTTTTCACACCATTTTTGAAAATGATACTTCTTTGGGTGCCTTCGTTTTTTGTTGAAATCACTTTCCACGAGCGTTTCATGATCCTTCAAATTACTGTTGATTCAGAGAGAAAATTCTGGTTTTACTCTGGGGTAGTGTTAAGGCAGTGGTGCCCAACCCGTGGTCCGCGGGCAAAAGTGGCCCTTGAGATGCTTACAAGTGGACCGCGAGGCCCAAACCCACAATAAATACCCTTATGTTTCCTTAAAATAGTCTCCTACAATACTAGTGACTGGCCCGCGATGGCTGTGGGAGTGAGCTATGTAGCACCCTAGCCGAAAAGGTTCGGCACCACTGTGTTAGGGCATCTCCTTTCCATCTCATTGGCATTAATTATCATTATTCGTCTCATTATTCCTTGTTCTTATTCCAATATTCATAGTAACAATTATTTTTACAATACCATCTGTTGCACTTTGATATTGGTATCATGAGAGTATGAAGGCATCATCGCTGATCGACTTTGCTTTTGGAAAGTGGATTTTGATAGTCTGAGGGAGCAAGATCTGGGCTGTAGGGCGGATGTGGAGCAACAGGCCACTGAAACTCAGCAAGAAGGGCGGAAGTTGCCAAAGCAGTGTGCAGGCGGGCGTTTTCATGAAGAAGGCCGAGTTTCTTCCCGCGCAATGCTGGCATTTTTTTTAAAACTGCCTTCTTAAGTTTCTTCAGAGTCTCGCAGTTTCGCTGAGCGCTCATGGTGGCATTGATTTCCAGAAAGTCGATAAGCAATGGCCCTTTATGGTCCCAGAAAACTGTCACCATGATCTTCTTGAAACAGGCCTGCGACTTGAACTTTTTTTGGCCGGAGCGATGATATGTGTGTTGTCATTCCTATGCCTGTTAATTTTTTGTCTTAGGAAGGAAAAATGGCAGCCACGTTTCATCGCCAGGGATGATTGAGTTCAGAAAATAATTGCCCTTTTCGGCATGTTTCTTGCAAAAAGTTCTAGCATCCTTCGACATTTCCCTGTTTCCGCTCTGTCCGCTCGGATTTCTGTCCCGCTAGCATCCTCCAAGCACAGAAAGCGTATCACGGAACGCTGCTGCAAAATGAGTAACTAACTCGTTTTCCATCTTAACACCATGAAGGCGGTCGCAAAAAATATTTATGACTGAAGGTGACATTTTTTATATACCCTGGGTCGTATATAGTTAAAATTACAAACCTCTACGACCTCTAATTATTTTTAAAGAAATGTTTTCCCGAAATTTTTGGAACAGGTATCAGGATTTGCCTGGCTGATTGAATAAGCACTGCATAACTACCAACCAAATATAACACAATGCATTTTTTTTACCCGGTCCAATTTGCATTCTCAAATTAAAGGAAGTAGGATAGGAAATCAGTATTTGAGCCAGTAGTTCCAATAGCACGGGAGTTCACAAAATTACACCCTCTGGATGAGGAATGAGGCATTTATTGCAACAATCTATGGAATTAGTAGTCAGGCATGACAAATTGATAGATAATAATAAATAACATAATAAATCACATTTCAAGTCCCTTCTCATTCAGACAACCATTTGAGCTTTGTGGATGGAATATATATATTTTCCATTGTTGTCAGGCATCCAATACTTCATCTGCATGTCTAAATTCTAGGGATTGAAGGGGGCAAAAACACTAGGTAAACAAGGAAATGAAGGAAAGAAAAGGTTCTTGAAAACTTCAGGTGTGTTTGAGATTCCCTGCTAGTGCTTCCTTCTGAGCAGTTCCCCCCCAAAGAAGTGAAAAGAGTTCCTTTTCATATGTCAGTGCATGATGACAATCAGTGACACTAGCACAATGAACAATGGCTTTGACTGTCCTCAATACTTCTGTGGGTATGGCTACACGTTTCTTGAGCCACTCCTCAGCATCATCAAAGGAATCCACAATATCACTTGCTATGCCTAATGATACTGCTTCTTCTGGAGTAATTTTTCTGCCTGTAAGAAGTAGATCTAATGCCAGCTGAGGTCCAAATTTCCTGACTAGCATGGTTCCACCAGCCCAGCCAGTGGCAACACCCATTTTTGCTTGAACAAAGCAAAGCTCTCCTTTGGGACCAAAGAGTCTGAAGTCTGGGGAGATAGTAAACTCTGCACCTCCACCAAGTGCCTTTCCTTGCACATAAACAACACTGACAAGGCTCAAACCTCCCAGGCGAGTCATGGAATCATGCATCACTTGAGACATCTGGAAACCATCTTCTGAATTCAATATTGCCTTCACAAAGTTCAAGTCTGCACCAGAACAAAAGAAGTCTCCTTCTGAATGTAGAAGCAGGCCTTTCCCTTCTTGCCATGTTGTTAAATCTAGGATTGCATCATGAAACTCCGCCATCATTTTTCCTGGAAAGAAGTGCAAGACAAACATCTTTGCTGACATGATATCCTCTTCACTAACAATTTCCCTATAATGCATTTTATAAAAATAAATTTTCAAGGTGCTTTTTTGATAGCATATTTTGTTATGGTGTGAAATTTCCTACATGACATAAAATGCAGGCAATATTTACCAATGACTCTTGAAAGAAAAGTAAATTTGACCCTTCACTGCATTTTTTACCTCTCATTTTTGCATTTCTCAGTGTGCAGACATAAGATAAGTTGGTTGCAGACACTTCAAATATCCTCAGCAGAATTTGCCTGAGACCCCAATGCAGGGTGAAACTGTCTTTCCAGCTGATGGACCAGGAAACATCCCCACCACTCTGAAACTTTTTGAAAATAAAAAAGCTAACTCACATACTGAGATGTTCTGAAAGTCGATATAATTTCAGAAGCAACAAAAAGAAATAACTAGAGTGATAGCTAGGCATTCTCTGGTGCTGATTAGGCTCCTGTGGTCTGCTGGATAAGAGACTCTATCAATGAATGTGAATTCTTCAATCTTGTGGGTGACATGACAATATCTGATGTAGTTTGGAGTACATTAATTACTGCTCTGAAAGAGGTGGTGGAGTTTACAGTGGACACACTGCTTCTATCAGTTTCCATAATGCTCTCCTGCAGTTCCCCTTTTGATTATTTCAATATTAGGCAATGCTACAGCTCAACAATAGCCATGAAAGTCAGGGCAAGTCTTGGGTGCCATACTTTCTGGTGCATGTTCTGGTACATAAAAGGCTATGAGAGGGATAGGATTCACAAGCATTAATTGACCAATAAGTAATTGACCAGAAGCTATTTCCAGAAGTGGAAATAGAGAAATCAAAATGCATAATTTGCAAGGAAACTATGTTGAGAGGGCAGAGTAATTTCTTTTGGCATATATGAAGAAATTAAGGATAAATATTTTTGTTGCAAGAACTCATTGACTAACCTGTGCATCATTTAAAAAACTATTGCATGTGATATAAATTTGAAATTACTTCATTATTCCCATTATTCTATCTCTGATAGAACAATGGGAATAATGGAAAACTTTCTGCAGGGATCCAGCACGTCTGACATTGAAAACTCAGAACATGTGAAATGCAACTCTAACACCAAATACTAAATGAACATCAATCAATGAAACATATGAAATTATTTTATTTCAGTCAACAATATAATAATATATAACTATATAACATGAAACAATCCATGACTTAGAGAGGCTTTAAAACCCATTTTCTGTCAATACCAGATGTTTCCTTGTTGAAGTTGTTGGGGATGCCTTGATCTAAATGGGTTTTCACCATCATAGCAACCTGCTTCCTGTCAAGTGGCAAGCCTAGCTCCCCAGGACAATTAATTGCACAACACAAGGCTTTCAGCCTGCCTTGTTAGCAATATTGGATGATCAGCTCTAAACTTCTCTGGTGTCACTGTCTTCTTTGTTGTCCATCAATGGAAGGTCAAAAATAGAATAAAGAACTGATTTTTTAAATTCTCAGTGATTTCTTCTCTTCTGCTTCTCTGCTGATTCTTATAAAAGGCAATGGCTTTGTCAAGATCTTTTGTTTACTTTTACTCCTTCTTTCATTTGTAGTTTTATGCCATCACCACATATAGATTGAGGCTAGCTCAAGAAGCCAGTAAATGCAGGCAGACACTTTAAATTAATGCAAATTAATTAGCAAATCAAAGGGCCATTACATCCTTTAGGATTACTTAGCAAGGGGGGGGGGGGGACTGATAGATAAACATACAGCCTTCTTAGCATGCCAATTGCAGCTTTCTTTCTTCTAAGAATGTTTGACATTAACAGCACAAAGGGAGTCCCAATGAAATACCCAGCTAAAGGCATTGGCAAGCAGGGAAGACAAAAATTTTTAAATATTTTAATGTAATATTTGAATAGAGCTATTAGCTCAAGATAAGGATATGACAACCAAATCATGACAATATAATCTGCTGGCAACTATAGATAACCACACAATGTATAGAGCTTTTTACTGATAGCAAGATTTATTGTAATTTAAGCAATTTTGGGATAATTTTTTATACATCACTTTAGTCATCAGTTTCTTTCATCTCACCTGAGAGAGCATTTCTCTTCTTTGGGTGATTCAAGCATATCTTTGCAATTCCTGATTGGTCATCCTTTGATAAATCTATTTTTCCTCCCTCATATTGAAGCAACATCTTTTTCGCTCTATTGATAGTTGCATCATCATTCAGGGACCTAGTTGAAGGGGCTAAAGCACCAGTTACAACACGGTTTCTCAGGCCTGACCACAGGCAACATCTACCTGGGGCAAACATCTGTAGAAAGAGACACATGGTATCATAAGGTTTATAATATATATTGGATGAGACTCATAGTAGCATTTCTCCAGTGAAACAACTTGCAGAGATGCCACATGACCCAGTAGTGGATCATGGATCCATTCATTAGGCTCAAATGGTACTCCATGTTACTATGGTGTAATTAGCTGAGACTGATATATTTTCAGGGAAGGGGGTAAAATCCAGCAGCTTTCTCTTCTGTATTCTCTGTCTCATCCACTTTTGATCCTGTATCCAAAAGTTGAAGCTTCGAAATGTGTTTTGTCACTCTTCGATTAATGGGTATTCACAAATGGGTATGGGAATGGGTATAGAGTACTCACAAATCATATTTCTACAGGACTGTTTTTTTCTCCACGGAGAATGTCCTTTTGAGAATAAATTGCTTGAACAAATTAATATGGCTGTGTGAACGTGTGGCTTGAAATTAGGTGGTCAAACTCAACAAGTCTGATAAAATGGCGGGCCATGGCCTCAAGTTCGTCTGTGCCGGAGGGAACAGCTATAGTAGCCAAACACACGCCTTTGTGGAAGAACAGCTCAGATTCTCTCGAACTGGTAATGTGCTAAATAGGTACGAGAAACACATGGCACATAAGAGCCGTCTGGAAGACAAGCAGTGATGCGAAACCCGTAGGCTATATTTTTGGTAACAGGCTAACTCAGAGTCTGATACGACTCTAAATACCATTTAACCGACTCTTTAAGGAAGTTTCAACAATTTAGGGTTGTGTTTATGATCAAGAAGCTTCCCTGTGATCATTTCTCTGAGACGGAGGGAAAAGCTTTATCCGACATCCGTCTGCAGTTGATGGCTCGAAGGCAATCATGTCTCCCAGCCTTACGGCACTAAGCTAACTCAATGATGGTAGTCGAGAATAGCCACTGAGCATGTAGGCTTATGGATCTACGAATGGATTGGATATGTAGGGGTGAGTGATTAACCCCACAGGCCGTTGTAACCGTGGTCTGTGGAGCCATACCCGAATGATTTGCTTTTACTTCTTAGGGTATGGTTTCAAGTCCCACCTCTGCCGCACTTCTTTGGCCCAAGTTACTTACGCTCAGTGTTGTGCGCGTTACTTGTGACAAGTAACTAGTTCCAATTACAAGTATTTCATCCAAAAAGTATTTATTTACCAGTAGAATTACTTCTCACCAAAAGTAACTAGTTACAAGTAGAAGTTACTTTTCCTGAACAAAAATTCCGATCTTTCTACAGCTTCTCCACTTCTTCGACAGAAGAATGCATGAACTGAAAGCGAAAGTTACCCCTGATTTTGCGAAAATTGAATTTATAATCATCACTTAACGGGATAAATGCTCATGCTCACTCTTTTCCTGTGCCTCTTCCCTTTCTATGGGCTACTTAACAGGAA